TAAAGCCTTCTTCCCTCGTCGTCAGAGTCGCTGGTGAGGTGCCCTGGTGACGGTCCCAACTGCCCTGCTTGGGTCATGCCCTGCCGAGCAGCTCTGACGTCCACGGGGCTGTGCTTCCGTGGGATCCACATCAACGCACCAAGCCAGGTCGGGCTCGCCTCCCAGCTGGGTACCGCTGTCCCTCAGGACCACAGGTGTGTTAGTCTTACTTCTTCGTTAGTTTCTTCTCTGTTTTTTCTTTTTTGGAATATCCATCAGTGAGTATTGAAACCTCTGAAATTCTCCCCTAATTTCTAAACTTTCTTTTCCTACTTTTTCATCTCTTTGTTCTCCTCTGGGACAGTCCCTCTACCTAATCTTTCAGTGTTTCCCCCAGTCTTGTCAATTCGTTTTCCTACAAAGAGCTCTCTCTCTGCTCTTTAGTCACAGCATCCTGTTCTTGTTTTATGGATGCAACATTCTCTACTAACTCAGAGCATAAAGATTGTATATTCTTTTGAACAAATTTCTTTGTGTCGCTGGCACCACAGCCTCGACCCTGCCACGCACTCTCTCCTGTCTCAGCCCCTGCTGGCCTGTCTCTCAGGCCTGGGGCTTTCCTTAAACATTTGCTGGTGACGGTTGTCTGCTTCTGTTTCTATTTAGGAGAGGCATCATGCTGGTGGGAGGCCCAGGTGCACACACCCGTGGGCCCCGGCGTCTGTCCTGGAGGGCTCTAGGACTCCTAGGCCCACCCCCAGGCTCTCCTCCAGGCTGGCGGGTTTCTGCAGTCGTTGCTTTCGGTTTCCTCACTGGACGCTGTCCTAGCCTGGTGTCCTGGAGCCCGTGATCTGGGGAGCGGCGAGGGCTCAGACTCCTCTCCGTTGCCCTCCAGGCAAATGCAGGCCGCTCCGTCCAGGCAGCAGCGTCGCAGAGAGAGGCCAGATGCCCTGAAGTGGCCACAGGCCACAGAGGCGGGTCTGCTCCCCAGCAGAGGCAGCCTCCAGGGAAGCTCCTCCGAAGACAAACAGTGGCAAGAGCTGCAGGCTGTCTGTCTGTCCCCATCTCCTCACGTCTGCAAGCCTTTTGGGGCAGGGACAGTTTCCTGTTCACGTCCCCACAAGTAGCCGGGCTCAATTCGCGCACTGCCGAGAGCAAGCCTGACTGGACTGCTCTGCCCTGGTCTCCTCCTCCCGACCCTTCACCTTCCTGAACAGGCCCTGGCGTTTCGTGCCAACAGCCAACAGAGGCTTCCACGTCCCTCTGTGCCACTTTTTGGGTGACTTCCTGCTGCTTCTGCTGGGGGAGGGGGTCTGGAAAGGGCCCCCCACGGTTGAGCCCTTGGAACCCACAGCACTCGCCATTCTCTTTGCCACTAAATACCCACCCCTGGCGTGCCTGGGGAGGGGAAGGGGCTCGCAGG